AGCGTCGTGAAAGCCTCGGATTTATCTGCGGTCCGTGTAAGGAGGCATAAACACGACATTCGTCAAGATCGCGCGGGCTCGGTTCACAGGACGCATCCTTCCTCCCGAGCGCACCCGGACAACGAGGCATTCAGCGCTGGGATTCTAACAGTTTACCGGAACGGTAAACCGCGAAAGAATGCTCGCTGTCTCTCCATTCGTATTCCGACGATAAGTCGTAGACGAGCTTCCTCTCGTTTGCGAAATTTCTTTGTAACAGGAGTCTCTTTGAGCGGCGAACTGCAACGACCGGTGCGTTCCGCCAATTTGCTTTCGGAATCGTATGTCTTCGTCGATTATTAATAGACTCGTTTGTTAGTTGCAAAAAAAATCGTACTTGCTGATACCGCTCATCTAAAATTTCAACGCTGTTTGCTTCATCCTTGCGCAATTCTCTGAAATATATTACATAGTTTCTAATTTTGATACGTAATTAGATTTTTTCAGCAAAGGATTGAATGGATATTGGATAATTTGATTCGATAAAGACAGTCTTGAAATTTCTCGATATTTCTCAGGTAAGTAAACTATATTCCACACGCTTACAGTAATAATAACATAGTAGGTATTTACATTTCGTCGTAATTTAATAATTACGATACGCATATGTTTACATATATGATGGTAGAATAGAATATAAGCATAATTGCGAAATGGTCTTATCTTTTGAAAGAATATTCAATAAAATCGAAAATCCATGGCCCGCAGAAATTAACCAAAAAAGATACAACAGAGAAGTAAGTTCCGATAAAAACCATACATTTCAATATCATATATATTAAACAACTATCCTACCATTTAATAAATTGTTGGTAGAGATTATCGATGTAGTGTAAAAAAAGAAAAAGAATTAAATATCTAATCTATTTTTCAATATATTCGAATTATAATTCAGTTCAATTTTTTCAGTTAGTAATTACGCAATATTATATTTTCAATATTACATAATAAAAGTCATGTAGAGCGGAAATTTACTTGAATTATAAAAGTTTCTTTTCATGTCAATTAAGGAAGAAATGCCATCTAAATGGAAGAAATTCACGAAGAAATAATACTACGAGCCATTTTAATGTCTAAACAGAGAAACATATCAATCGTAAAGTTTTTAAGGAAGTCGAGATAATCACCGATGATGTGATGGCTATAACTATATTCGCTTTTTTACATTAATGGCGTAGAGATACCTATTATATCTCTGCATTCAGGGAGCGCATTATCAGTGCAATTGCATCATTCTATTTTTGTTTTACGTCTAATAAAAATAAAATAACACAATAATGTTAATAGCACGCTCTCGAACGCAATAACGCCTCCGACCTTATCACATATTTACAAAATGTAGATTCATTCCATGAACAGAATGAGTCAGGCTGCGAAGCATAATCTGATTCGTCGAAATTGCGTTTCAATTTTGGATTTAGTTTCATTGGCACATTGCGAAGTGTAATCAATTTGTGCATTTCTATCCGAGATTCTCTGTAAACGAGACTGAACAAATGTGTCTTAATACACACATATACACACACGCACACACGCGCGCGCACGCATACACACGCACACACGCGCACACACACACATACACGCACGCACGCACGCACACACACATACGCACACACGCACGCACACGCACACACACACACACTTCTTTGGATACATTTGAATACAATCAATCGTAAAAGTGTAGAAAATTCAATAAAAGGAAGGATGTCAGCACCGCAAAGAAGAAACTTGGTTCCCCATATTTATGTTTATAAGTCAGAAGAGAGCAAGTCTGATAAGAAAAATGGCAGGGAAGCCACTGTGATTATATGTTCCGTCTTGCGCACGTGTCTTATGCGAATTAAGAGATTATCTGTTAATGGCTAGAGCGCGTAAAATTTGCAAGTATAATACAGCTTGTATCTTACAATCAATCCTTGATATAAAAATCTATGAAACTATCCACAGTTTTACTGGCGAAGGTTCCAAGCCGCGTGGAACCGAATGGAACTCGGTCTGCACGAATTTGAAAGATTGATCGATAGGCAAATATAACCTATATCTTCTTTCATGTAATCCTCCTCTTTCCCGGATGTATATAAGTGATTGTTACAGCTCTCTCTCTCTCTCTTTCTCTCTTTGTTCCGTGTAGCTTAAAATATATAATTCTGATTTGGACTTATTCCATGGCTATGCTCTTCAGCACATAATTCACCGTGTACGCGAACGCCGCGAAGCCAATGATGACAACGAGATTTGCCAGTGCGCTGTGCAGTGGATTTTGATCTCTTTGGAACTGGTCTCTTATCAACGAAGAGACTTCGGACGCAGCGGACTGATGCCTCGCTTGTTTCTCAAGTTCTTTCCGACGTTCCAGTTCTGTTCTGACCGTCTACAGTAATATTATGTCAAATTGAGAGTTTTCTAAATTCCGTTATAATATGCTATTATTAATACAGCTTCATTACCTCGACAGTTTCTGGAAAGAGTTCGCAGAACATTTTGTCCCTCAAATTATATTCTAAGCTTTGTGCAGCAAGCTGTCTCTTTTCATAATCTGTTGTATTAATGCTGCCGAGCGTGGGACTCTTTTCAATCTGTAAACGCAAGACTATAATTAAATATCTTTCCGAAATTACACTGTCGAAATATTTCAAGGAATGTACCATAAAGCTGAGTAAACCAGTAAGAATAGTAGATACGCTCCATGCTGGATTCCATGTATCTGGATGAAAGTCGGAAATGGATAGACATAATCTTGTATTGATTTTAAATCGGCCATTTGGAGTGGTCATATAAATGCTAGGAGGTTGGAATGGAAACTCTCCTGGAAATATGAGTTTTCCATGATAAAATCCACCCTCGTATGGTGTTTTTTCCGGTCCTATGACCACGTAATGCCTGAAACAAGCAGGACATACATTAAATCATTCGTAAACAGCTGATTCACGATTATTTAGTAAATACTAACTGATAGTAACATAACATTCAATGGTTGCGTTCAGTAGAAAAAACAGCTTTGCAATGATTGTATAATGCATTATTACGATTGGTCTTATTCTTCCTCACTGGAATAATAAATAAATCATATTAAAGAATCTTACACAAATTACAAAGCTGCTTTTTCTGCGAAATGCAGTCAATATTATAATTTCACATTCAACAATGTTAACTGTTATGTACAACACATGTTATCTTATAGCAAATTCAGTCACTTGCATTATACTAGATTAGTGCATACTAAAAGCAGCGATGAAATTAACAAAGCTAAATGTAGAAACATATAAACATTTTAAATGATTAAATACCCAATAATGATATTAGCTGCTTTCCATTTACACACAAATGAAACTGAGTTTGAAGTGAAACGAGTATTTCATACTCAGATTAATAACGTCATTATTTGCTTTGGTAAAAAAATTATCACGTGGTGACAACACAGGTTCATAATCTCACTTTTAAAGTGAATTTACGAGACTCGCTAAAGACACGATTTCAATCTTGCAGATTATAGGTAAAAACTCAGTTGAATCTCACTTGTCAGAATGCAAAAGGAACGTGCATTCAACTGATTGTGAGTTATGACGTTACAAATGAAAATTATTTGAGAATCGGTGTAAATGGAAAGCAACTATTGTCATCTTAGTTAATACAGAATATACATATATTATTTCATTATCAATATTAACTATATTATGCTAATGCATTTAGATACTATATATAAAGTGGCCTTTAATATATATTAAACCAATGTAGTGCAAGTGACTGAATTCACTATTATATTTGTATTGTTGAATGTTACACACTAGGTGCTTTCCATTTGGTGATACAAATCGACACAAATATCGTTCTATCTTTATTACCCATTGAACTGTCAAAATAGAATATTTGTATCCACTTGTATTATTAAATGGAAAACATTCCTTGATGTTAGTTAATGTTTACTTGACAACTCGTTTAACTAGGCTAGACTTACCATTCCAAGATGTTCGAAGGCACTGGTTCCGCAAGAACATACGGTACTGGATCTCTTTTAAGACGCAGATAGTCCTGTCTCAATCTGGCCGTCGCACTGTTGGTCTTTTTGTTCATCCTTACCATGTAACCCAGTGTTACTTGCAAACGGGCACTGTCAAAGATACGATATTTTCTCCGCTCGGCGTAAACCAGATTCCTTCTTAATGGCTCAGGTCGTTTAACGTGATGTTTACAGGTCGAAGTTTTGCTCCAACTATCCAGTCCTCGTCCTCTCAGCGTCAAGTTGCGCGACCCTCGAGTCGCATTGCGGACGTCCACGTGGAATTGACCGTTGCGATGTTCTTTGGAGCTCGCTTGCGTGGTCGAGACAAACGGTGTGACGGCACGAGATAGGGTTACGTTGCGCCGATAAATGTGCAAATCTGGCGATAAGCACGAGAACTTGAGAAACGCTCAGCTGTTCGTCGAGTCGTCGAACTGGGTGAGAATGAGATAAACCTGATAAGCGCTCGAGTGACGTATTACCTCGGTGAAATGAAAGCGCGCGCGACCGCCGGTTGAGACGGAACTTGACAGCGCGGTGAGCTGTCGTGTGACAATGAGAAACATCTGACTGTGAGATCCGCATCCGCTGAATTAATTCGTGTCCGAGTGCAGGGTTACTACGCTATGTGCGGAAAGCGTAACCTCGAGTGCGCCTCGCGTGATGGAACGCATTTGGCGCGTCTTTTTCGAAGACTCTCAGCGTGAACGCAAAATAAATCGCTGAAAACGTACAGTAAAATAGATTTCAATAGAAATACGATTTTAAATAAAAATTTAATATTATCGGAGTAATAGAGATATATAAAGACTGCATTTCGATAATCACTGCCAGTATTTAAAATCTATAGTGCACGTAACGTATACTATAGATTTTCAGTCTAGTAGAGAGCCAAAATAGGTATAATTTTAGATATATTTATAATTTACTTTTACACTTTTAATATTAACTTTTATAGAAGTATAACTTTAGAAGTTATCAATTAAAAAAATTATCATATGCTGATATATTGTATGTACTGCTTGATAAGTTAATCATTAAGCTAATTTTTCAAGATTTAATGAAAAATTTTAAATTGAATTATTCAAGGTTAGAATTATTTAAGACATAATTTTCAATGATATAATTTGTCTCTAAATCTTTTTTCCATGTATTAAGAAAAAACCATATTCACAATTAACTTTTACACTTCCAACACGTTTAAACATTATGATATTACGTAGATATTGCTTCACCAATCATGGTTCCTATTCTATAATTCTTAATGCCAGTATCAGTACATTGTCGTTGTGCATGTTTTATATATAATAAAAAACCTACGCAATAATAATATAACGATACAAACACTGTTGTTAAAAGGTACTGAATAGGGTTAATCAGAGTTTGATTGAAGTCACTCTAAATTCCTAACAGTCACGTCGCTATTCTGGTACAGTGAACGGGGCTTAAGACCCGTGACAGTCGCCGCCTCCCACCGTCGTTATCATCATCGAGAGAGTGGCTGAGTGGATTACGACGCTGCGCGATTGTTGACATTTTGCTTTAGGTGCCAATGTAAATCCGGTTGATCCTGTCTCTCCATCCGGGAGCTCGTCGTGACGCTTCGGTTTGTCAAATTGGCAGTCATCTTTTGATCCATTCCGTGTGACCATGAGCTCACCAATATCTATGAGTAACGCTGGACCACCAACTACTGCCACTGGTATGGAGACAGTGGTGGCAGTCGCCCTGGGCGCACTCGCCGCTGTCTTCCTCGGCGCGCTTCTGGTGCTCCTGGTTATCTGTCGTAGACAACGCTGCTATTACGTGAGTCCAGTGACAGAAGAGACAGAGATACTAGGCAGTCGGCAGGGAACATAATGATCTTAATTATTTCCAGAATCAAAAAGATTCCGCGGAGCTGAGCTCCGATCTGCTCGAAGGAGAGAACATCACTGGCTTGGGATTAGATGTGTGGGAGAGTGAAGAGTGGTTGGCGGGTGCTGAAAGGTAAAAGGAGAATCAAACGATGAAGAATTAATGAAAATAGTAAATAATATTGTATGCGATATGACACTTTTATCTTTAATTCAATTTGTAGATACAAGATATTTATAGGTATTTTTTCATTATTTTGTTATCTGCTTTCTATTTCTATTAGTTCTTCGTAACGACGAAGAAATAAAAATAATAAATAATGTTGCGTGTAATATGTAACTTTTATCTTTGATTCAGTTTGCAGATATCTTGTATCTGCGTATCTGTTGTGAAAAATTTAATTTAAGGTGTGAAAATGCAACATTTGCGTCATTCATCTTCCTGTCATTAACTTTGTGAGTTTAATAAATGTCATGCCGCTCTTTAGAAAGATGATACATTTGCGTTCTAGATGGGTTGACGATGCCACTGGTTTAGCTCCACCTTGTATAGCAGTGCTTCGATCTTGTCATTCTTTAGCAGCCAGTCTTACTACTATCGCCGGAACTGTCAACAGTAATACTGTTCCGCTGGAGATAGTGGATGTAAGTGCGATTACTGTATATTATTATTGTGTTATACTCTTCTTACCAGTTCTTATTCTTATTCATAGGTCGCCCGACGCATACCGCCTCGTGTAGATGACGTTGTTCGCAGTTTGTATCCTCCTTTAGACGCCAGATTATTGGAAGCTAGAGTGGCAGCTCTGGTGTTGGCTGTGACTCATTTGGCGTTGGTAACCAAGCACGGCGTGCCTAAGAGCCAAGCCAGAAAACTGGCATTCATTGATCAAGCCCTGAACGACATGGACACTCATCTGTTGGTGCTAAGAAACGCAGCGTTGGCCCAGGAAGTGGCCTGCTCTATCCCAGCCTCTACGCCAGTTTGAGTATACGTCGATTGATCTCGCGATGAAATAAAATCTCTGTCGCTACAGTATTTATAATCATCGGATTATGTCTAGCTTTCGCGATTTTGTTTTCGTCACACAATCGCAACGAAAACTGTACGTGATATAGCCACTAATTTGTAAATATAGCGTACACATTCAGTAAATTCGAGCCATGCATCAGACGGTAATTACGCGAAAATGTATCATCGCTGATCTCAAGGCACAAAATGAACAAAGTTCGAGATTACTGATGGGGAGGAAAAAAACTCGTCAGTATTTTATGTCAATTATCGTTACTATAAAAAGAATGCATATAAATATATATTAGGTATATATACAGCACACGTCGGAAGTATCGTGAAGGATATATTTTAATAATTGTTTTTAAACGCGGTGAAAATTCGCCAAGACATCTTTCGACATTTTACAATACACAGAGATATACGAAAATGACGTCTTCCATGTTACATTATCATAGTTATTTATATACGTACATGGATAAAAATGTATTTTGGGACTATATAATCGATCGTACCTGCATATGTTTGTACACGTTACAATATTTTATATTTTTGAAGATAATCAAATTGTTTTAGATTAGTAGGAATTTATAATGAAGTTGATCGTCAAAGACAAATCACATGGGTTCTTTTGTCCTCTCTTTTTCTATATATTTATGATTATAAATAGAGCTTGTCGATAATTTATTTAAATTTAATCTGTATTCTTTTGTATATGCACGAATTCTCAATTTCTAAATTCCTACTGTAGCAATACGCCACAACAACCTGCGGGTTGTCAAGGATTAATTTCGGCCTTCTAATACTTCAATAAATTAACTAAGTGATGTAATCGATTACTGATGCGCTACAGAATAGCGTATACAGTATCGATTAACATGTTACAATTTTCCGGAAAAAAAAAAAAGATTCCTAAATGTGGAGGTATAGTGCACTGGAAAGAGAGAAGCGGATCAAAATCGCAGCGCTGCCTCCATTATTTTCCTCGATTCGCCAAGTCCTTTTGTCTCTTTTGGTTGTCGGACAGAACCTTGTCTTTAAGGTGCTCCTTATAATCCAAAATGTTGCCACTCCACTTTGTGACCGCCCCATTCTCGCACACCCAGATTTCTTCAGCGACCTAAACATCGAGTATATAGAATGCATCCACAAAACTTAGATTTTCTTGAATTAAAACAAAGCCATACGGAAATGCATGTACCTGATTAATCAGTCTGAAGTCGTGCGATACGAGAACCATACCGCCATCGAAGTCATTGATGGCATCAGCGAGAGCATCGATTGTTTCCATGTCCAAGTGATTGGTAGGCTCATCGAGCAGTAACAGATGAGGCACTTGCCAAGCCAACCAGGCAAACACAACCCGACAACGTTGACCATCGGACAATTGACGAATAGGACAAACCTAAATACGAGCGTATCCGATTATTTATCATTCTTAAATATCATTATTTCATAAATTACGTACCTGTTGACGCCCAGTTAGACCATAGCGACCAATAATCTTTCTCATTTCTTCACGCTCTTTCACTTCGGGGAAAGCCTTCATCATATAATCGAGAGGCGATATATCTAAATCCAGTAACTCATGCAAATGTTGGTGATATCTACTGATTCGGAGATGACTGTTTTTGCGAATCATTCCGCTTGTCGGTACTAACTGTAATGCGAAATATCTTGTTAAAAAAATAATATCGAGTCCTCTTTTACTAATAGAATATACATTTCCAACGTACATCACCATACAACAGCTTCAGCAGGGTACTCTTTCCTGCTCCGTTTGGCCCAACCAATGCAATTCTGGTATCTAAATCAATTCCGAATTCTAGATTCTTGTAAATCCAAGGTGCATCCTCGTTGTAACGAAAACTGACGTTCTGAACCATAATAACCGGTGGTGGAATCGTTCCGCATGAAGGAAAATAGAAGTTTAGCACTTTATCATTAACAACTTTTTCGGTCAGACCTTGCGCCACCATTTTCGCTAAAGTTTTTTCTTTCGATTGTGCTTGTCTAGCCAATTTTGCCGAACCGTGACCAAATCGCGCGATATAGTTTTTCATATGCGCAATCTGATCCTGTTCCCAGTTATATTGTTTCGCTTGATTTTCAAGTAATTCCATTCTAAAAACGAAGAGAAAGAAAACATACAAAGTAATGATATTATAAGAAATGATTTATCAGAGCGATATCTTTCGCAACTCACCTTGTTTTCACGAACGCCTCGTAATTACCAGTGTAATATTTTAATTGCTTCTTGTTAACGTGGATGATATTGGTGCAAATGCCATTGAGGAAATCTTGAGAGTGTGAGATTATAACGAGAATCCGTTTATAGGTTTTGAGTTCTTCTTCTAACCATACGCAAGCATCGAGATCGAGATGATTGGTTGGTTCATCAAGCAACAACAAATGTGGTTTTACATATAGTGCTCTGTAAAAGAGAAATGCAAAAAAATGTTTTATACAAATAGATAGAACTTTTAATAGTATTTTTCTAAACATTTTATGTACGCTTAAAATTTTTACATACCTAGCAAGAGCTATACGCATTCGCCAACCTCCTGAGAAGTCTTTGGTAGGAGTTTTTTGCATTTTTGCAGTAAAACCCAAACCATGTAAAATATGGGCAGCACGAGCTTCAGCAGTGTCAGCTGCCATGTCTTCTAATCTCTCATACACATCCATGAGTTGTTCCTATGTGTACGTAAATTTGTAAATAAAAGTCATCATTCTTTTTCATGAAGATTTTTAGACAAATATCAGTTCGTAAACAAACCTGAGCGTCCTCCTCATCGCAATCCACTAACT